GACCCAAAAAAAGAGGAAACCGATCAACAAACTGAGAATTTGAAATTTTTTTTGAAAACCGGAAACGGACCCAAAAAAAGAGGAAACGGACCCAAAAAAAAGAGGAAACGGACCCAAAAAAAAGAGGAAACCGATCAACAAACCGAGAGTTTAAAACTTTTTCTGAAAACCGGAAACTGACCCCAAAAAAAAGAGGAAACGGACCCCAAAAAACGGGAAACGAATCAAATGTAAATATAGCGAAAATCGACCCAAAATATTCGGAAATCCCTCTACACTTTTTAGTTTTTGAAGGATTTCCGATAATTCTTAAAAAAAGAAGGAAACAGACCCAAACTCACTTTAGGGTCCGTTTCCGTGTTGAGGCGTTTCCATAGCACCGAGCTAATGCGTCATGAAACTTGTAGGACGGGTAGGATCTTTTCTTTCCTTGCTCCGACCTTGTCTGAAACTCCCGGTAGGACGTGTTGGATATTTTCTCCAGTTGCTCCGACCTTGTCTGGAGTAAAACATTCCTGAAACTTCTGGAATACAGTATCCTGTATTCAGTATCCTGCAACCAGTATCCTGTATCCAGTATCCTGTATCCTGTATCCAGTATCCTGTATCCAGTATCCAGTATCCAATATTCTGTATTTTCTATACCATGCATTATCATGTAAATCTGTAAATTAGGATAATGTATAAGTCCATGCATATATTTACAATTATAGGATAGTGCTAAAAGTACGGTCATTACTGTTATCCTAAGAAATTCGCGAAAATTTGAGAACCATTCTAAATGCTATTTTTTTGGCGAGCAACTTCCTTTTTTCTCGGGACAACTTTTAAGGAAAGAAAATTGAAAACTGGGAAATAAAACTGTATTATTTTCAGATGATGCCAACACTCTGCCTGGAGGAGATGAGGTCCCTCCTCAGCCTGTCCTTCCTCCGCCTGAAGGAGATGATCTTCTCCCTCCTCTGCCTGGAGTAGATGCTCCCCCCCCCTCTTCCTGAAGGAGATGCACCATAGCCTGCACCACAGCCTNATGCTCTTCTCCCTCCTCTGCCTGGAGTAGATGCTGCCCCACAGCTTGCCCCCCAGCCTGCTCTACAGCCTGCCCAACAGCCTGCTCCTCAGCCTGCCCTACAGCCTGCCCCACAGCCTGCTCTACAGCCTGCTCCACAGCCTGCCCCACAGCCTACTCCCCATCGTCTGACTGGAGATAACGCCTGGGTGCCTGGAGTAGGTGCTGCAGCAGGTCAATTTTGAATTATTTATATTGAATAATCACTCCATTGGTTTAATTTTTAACTAAGAATTTATTAAAATTACAACACTTATGTATATGGAGAGAAACAAGACTTTCCACTTTATATTGTAGTGTCTGTTAAAATATGAACTAGATATTAATGGTTAAAATTTTGAAAACTGATTAGTTTTTTATTGTTGGTTCTCTAAAAAAAGTGACTTACGCATTTCTACTGCATAGAAATTAGAAATAAATAAAAATTTAAAGAATATAATGCTTACAAACATGCAGACTCGATCCATAATCTTCCCCATAATTAAGTAGATTAAGCTTTTAAGGATACCAATGTAAATCGGAAATTGCCATATTTGCATTTTAAAAGAAGCTTACAGTCCATTTTAAGGGGCTGTTATCATTTTATATTACCCTGTATTTTTAAAGAGACGAAACAGTTACCCTTGCAATATCTGTTCAAGAAGTTAATGTTGTTTTTCCAGCATGAAAATAGTTGTAACTCTTGTTAATTCCTACATTGTTTCCTTCAGCAAAAATGTTCGTGCATTTTCAGTAAAGAAACCAAGATTGGAAATAATCATTTTCCAAAATATGACCATGAAAATCTGAGTAATAAATTTTGTGTTATAATCATCATTTTGCTCTCTGAAAACTGAGCACCAAAGTTCAACATGTTAGTTTTTCTAATAATTAAAGTTTCTCTCTTGAAATTGAAATGTGAAAGTTGAGAATATAATGTTTTGACGCTTGTTTCCATTTCTAGAAAGCTGAAATGAATTTTCTTATTGAAATGCTCTCATTTAGTTTTCTCTCTGAAAGTTGAATTCATAAAATTAAGTATTAAATTTAGTGCCCTAAGAATTGTTGTACATTATGAAAACTGATAACCAAAATATGTCTACTTAACTTCATATATGTCTACTTCATTTGAACTTACGTTTCTGTGCATGTAAACCCTAAACTAAATCTCATACCGTGTAATAAGAATATTCTTGCAGGGAGAGGACAGTGGAGAGGAGATAATGGCCAGATAATGGCTGCATATCAGATGCACCAGGACTATTACTATTAGTAATATTATAATTATTTTCAGACCATGCAAATTCAAAGCTAGTGAAAATGGATTGAAGAAGATGATTGAAGATCAAGCTGAAGGGAATAAAGGTAGATTAAATCAAAAAAATCCTGCTTTTTAAGTAGCCCTCGGGATTATTTTTAAGAATTTCACCTCCCCCCCCCCTCCCACTTCTTGTATTTGTCGGAGTAAGCCTGGTTCAGGTTCAAGTATAGTCGGGTTGATCCCGGTTCAGATTCAATCATAGTTGGAGCAATGCAAGTTCAGGTTCAAGTTTAGTCGGAGCAATCCTGGTTCAGATTTAAGTATATAAGTATGAACCAGGATTACTCCGACTGTACTTGAAACTAAAGCAGGATTACTCCGACAATATGTGAACCTAAAGCAGGATTGTTTAGACTATACTTGAATCTGAACCAGGATTTCTCCGACTATACTTAAACCTGAACCAGGATTGTTCCAAATATACTTGAGCTTGAACCAAGATTGCTGCAACTTTAATTGAACCTGAACCATGATTACTCAGACAATACTTGAACCTGAATCAGTTAGGAAGAGTTAGGAAGAGTTAGGAAGAGTTAGGAAGAGTTAGAAAGAGTTAGGAAGAGTTAGGAAGAGTTTGGAAGAGAAGAGTAGGGTTTGGTTATGGAGAAAAAGAGTAGGGTCAAATATTTTAAAACCTCTTGATTATGCTTTTTTGTACAGCTCTTATTTGTTCTTAGAAAGTTGATGTCAAAAAAAAAACTCAAATATGGCACGTAAGAACATTCTCATTTTTGAATAAAATTCTGTGACGGATGTATGTGAATTAGTCTATAGTAATATATATATATATATCATTCCTGATATATTGATCAACCAAATTTTTTATAAATGATGCAATAAGATTTTTAAATAATTATTTTTGAACTAGAGTACTGCAACGAAAATTGAGTTAAAACAAATTTTGAGGATGTTTTTATTGCATATCATTTAAATAAGCTTTTAAATGGCATTTTTACTTTTTTACAGAAAACTAAAAAATTGATTGTTTAAGGTGGCTGATTTTAAAGGAATCTAAATGTTCACTCTCTTTCAAAAAAAGTTTTTTTGGACTGTTCTGGATTAAGATAGTCTTCCTTTTCTCCTTTTCACATATTTATGGATATGTTTTCTATTGGTATTGTTTCCGGCCCCCCTCCCGCTCCATTGAAAATTAGTTGTATGCTCTAAATCTAAGTTTCTTGCTTTAGTTTCTCTCTACAAATTTGATTCAGTTCTACTTTTGTACAATTTTAATTTTTATCTTATTTGAACTCCTTTAATCATGTTTTTAATTTCAATTTTAATTTAGTTTATTTAACTTCTTTCTCCGTAGTTTTTTTTTCTCCTTTTCGGACAGAATTTAAATAATCTTAATTTTATTCTTTTCTAACATGGGTTTACCCCATGGGTTTCTTATTTACCATGGTTTTAGATTATCCTTTGTGAAGCTACTTTAACCTCAATATTATTTAACCCTTACTAACTTTCTTCTTTGCACAGGATGGGGAGGCCCAGGAAAATCCAGGTCATCCGCAGCGATGATTTCTCTAACCCTTCTGACTTGACCCTTTCCGAGCTCCGTGCTCTTAGTATCAGCTCCGCTAATGATATTCCTAACTTCCTCTCCTGTGTTCCGACCGTCACACAAGGATCTCCCTGGACCCATTCCTCTGCTCTACCTTCTGGAGCAGACTTGCGCTATGCCCAGCCTGGCCTCGAGTATGTCCTCTGCAACTTTGCCGGAGACCAAGCAACTTTGTGGCTTATTTTCAGCAATGTGAAGTTCTACTCTCTGAAGGTCACTCTGCTCTCAAGTCTACCTTACCTCCAATACTTTGGCCTACAGCGGTTCCTCCTGCTACTGCTTCCTCTCAAGGTTGGTTATGCTACTTTTGTTCTTGTTTTAATTTCCTTTGTAGAAGGTTTGTTCTTAAGTTTAGGCTTTTTTCTTTAATGCATTTAATAATTTAAAATTTGTTATTCCTGCGTTTTATGTCCCTTAGTGGATTTCGGTTTTTTTCTCTTTCTGTTCCTTATTGGATTTTGTTATTTCTTTTTAACAATTTTGTTTGTTTATAAAAAAATGTTATTCCTTGAATTATTTGTTTGCTGTTCATTAGTGAATTTAACCTTTTTTCCCACTGTCCTTTAGTGGGTTTTGTATTATATACGTTTGCTTGTATCTTTTTATTGTCCTTTAGTGGATTTTGTGTTAACTCTGTCCCTTAGTGGAATTTTATTATTAACACTGTCCCTTAGTGGATTTTTTATTATTAACAATTGCCTCTGTTACTATCCCGTGGTGGATTTTGTATGATTAATGCTGTAAAAAATGAGTTAATTTGTAAACAGATAAGGGGGTAATGGGTGACTAAAGTGAGCGGTCGATATCGACCGCTTCGTACATTGACGATTTAGTATTGTCGGAGTAATTGTGGTTCAGGTTCACGTACAGTATGAACATCCTGGTTCAGGTTCAAGTACAGTCAGAACAATCCTGGTTCAAGTTCTAGTATTGTTGGAGTAATCCTTGCTAACTTTAATTGTAGTAATCCAGAGTCTAAAACTAAAGAATGCGCGAATTTTAAGTTCGAGGTTAAAAGTTCTGTAAAATAATGAATAGCGACTTAAATATTAAACTTTCTCAATTTTAAATTTGAATTTCCCGGGAAAAATCTGAACCAATCAGAGAAAAGGATTTTAACAAGGTTTTCACTTTTAAATATATCGTAAAGTTGAATGCCGCTTTCTCAGCTGCAGCTGAATGATGATTGAATAAAAGACAAATAGGGAAAATGCAGGATTTCAAGATAATTTAAACCTCTGTTTAAATTTTAACTCGTCGATTTCGGCGAGTTAAATATTTAACCACAGGGTTAAATATTTAACCTCATGGTTAAAGTTCAGGTTTAAATTAAGTCAGAAGTGACATTTAACCATGAACTTAAAATTTAAGTCAGAACTTTTCGTTCTTTAGTTTTAGACTCTGGTTAAGGTTTAATTATTTAAACGGGGGGCTTTCAGATCTTCCTCCTGATATTCCTTAAGTTAAATATTTGTGTAGATTTGGAAAATATTGGTAATTGAACATTAATAGGCAAGTTTATGCATCCGTTTTGATACTTTTAAATTAATTAATGAAACATTATAGAAAAATTAGATAAGATAGTGCAGCACAATTTTTATGTTTAAATAAAACCTGAACAAAGAATTTTTATGTATAATTTTTTATATTAGTTCGCAGTACAACTCAAAGTGTAAACAAGAAAATAAACATTTTCCTGAGTCAAAATGACTGGCATTTCAAATAAATAATAATAAGCAGGAGACTTATTCCCCAGCTGAACCAAGATATCCTAGGTATGAATATAACCAATAATTTCCATCACTTTCTATTATCAATCAAAAATTAGTTCTTTCTTTTTTCACAACAACCTGTCAATAATTAAAAGTCGGGATCAAATAGTTTGAAACCTCTTAATTATGCCAATTTTATAGCTACGTTTTTTTTCTATAAAAGTTAATATCTTAAATGAAACTCATTTATTGTATGGAAAAACATTCTCTTTTTTTGAATTAAATTCTGTGACGGATGTATTTAAAAGTCTATTGTGATATGTATATCATTCCTTATTGATCAACAAAAGAAATGAGTCTTTGTAACAAACTCTGATTTTCTAATACCTATATTTTTTGCCACCTTTGATATCTCATCGAACAGAATTCATAATTATTTCCAAACTTAGATTTTTTCATCTAACAGAATTTTTTATTTGAAATATCTAAGGTCTACGGCATTGGATTATACAGATATAGAGATTAGAAAATTATAGTTTGTGATAAAGACTCAATTGCTTTATAATGAATGATGCATTAAGATTTTCAAAGAATTATTTCTGAACTAGACTAATGCAGCAAAAATTGGGTTTAGACTAAATTTGAGGATGTTTTTTATTGCATATCGTTTTAGGTAGCTTTCAAATGGCATTGAAATATATTACATTTTTCACTGATAATTAAAAAATTGATTGCTAAATTTGGCTGATAAAAGGTTATAAATTCTTCCTTTCTTCCTTGTTATTTTTATTATTATAACTTTGAAAAGCTTAACTTTTTTTAGTACAGGAACTGATCATGAAGCATGAGTTACTTTCAAGAAGCAAATCAGTTCAAAAGGAAGAAACTAAATTATTTTGTTATATTGTTCTGGTTTCGCTCAGATACCATTTTTGGTAATAAAAGCGATTCTTAAACTTGATATTTTTCACTTTATATGCTCGACATTTTTCACATGATCATCGTAACTGTTCTTGAAAATGTTTAAGGTTTTAGACTCTTTAATATAGTCTGGCAAACTGTTCCATGGGTTTATCACTCTCACAGAAAAAGAGTTTTTTCGTATGTTAGAATTGAATTGCTTTACATTTAAATTGAAACTGCAATTGGATTGTCTTGTCAGTCTATTCGCTGTCTCGCATGTTCTGCTGAACCAAGAAGATTCATCAACATTATCATATCCATGTAGAATTTTCCAGGTCTGTATTAAATCACCAAGAAGTCGTCTGGCCTCTAGAGAGGTCAAACCAACCTCAATCAATCTTTCCTCATATGCCAGACCTGATGTCATTCTTAGAGCTCTGCGCTGCACATTCTCCAGTAGATTAATATCTTCTTGTGTCCATGGGGACCATGCTTGCACTGCATACTCAAGGTGGGGTCGAACATACACCTTGTTCAATTTGATCCAAGTGAACCTGTCCCTGTAATGGAATGATCTTGACATAAATTAAAGGTAAAGTAGATTAAATGTATTGAGTTCCCCAACCAAAATTTTCTTAATAAGACGACTTTAAGAATCAAGTTACAACTTTAATGAGAATGGGAAACAGCAAATGTGCAGTGTAAAAAGACCCATTTCACTAGATTAGTGATTTCCGAAAAACAATAATATTAATAGTTACGAAAACAAACTCAAACAATGAAATCAAGATACATCATGAACTAACAACACAGAATTGAATGGAGGTGATTTGTTTTTTCTGTTTTCTCTCTGATCTTTGTAGGTAGTGCTACGTGTAGTGCCTCTATCAATATTTCACTGATTTGCAGGCGCTGGTGGTGCATTGGCAATATCAACCCAGTCCCTGTGAGAGGTCATGAGATGCTTGAGTACCGAATACTGACGAGGCTTAGTTGCAGATGTTAGACGAGACTTGATCCAGATACCAATCCTATTAGAATCCTTGTTGTAAGTCTGCATCCATATGCCGACATTGTCAGGCATCTGGCTCACTTCTTGTTCGCTCACTCTTAAAGCCTTTGCAGTTGTCCTGTTTATGATGCGACTCTCATCATCGTCCAACTGAACCCCACTCTTCATTGCACCAGTGGCCATTATACACATGGCTGCCATACATACATCGCGCGATACTCCCTGAAATGAACCTGCTATTGCATGATCTCGCATTACCAAGGAGCATGCCGGTTACTTGGATGTAATCATGCATAGAGCCGTGCTCGGACACAGATAGGTATAGCATAAAATAACCAAATTCTCTGTATACTATTCCGGTTAGAATTCGTGCGCTAAATTTCAAATATTAAAAACCAATTTTATTCTAAGTTTACAAATATTTAAAGTGAAGCTATAAATTGTGCAATAATAAGTTATCTCCTGTTGTAGTTTCAGAGAGCAGTGTGAGGGCAAGATGGGACGAGGACTCTGAGGAGGGGAACGTTGTGGAGGAGGAGGAGGAGGAAGAAGAGGATGTCATCGAGGTTGACAGAGAAGGTTACTTTATTTTTCTCAGGACAATTTTTATGGAAATAAAATGCCTTTTTAGCCGTCAAAATTTACTCAAAATGTAGTCTGTTCCTTTTACCATAGATTTTCAAAATAAATTAAAATCTGTTTTAGTCTAGTTTTAAAAATCCTCCATTCTATCATTAAATAGGTGCAATTTATTCTGTTCTGTCGTATTCATCTATATTTAAATTTGGCTTGTCTGGGTGTTTGTTTGTATCCAATAAACGGCTAAACCAATCGGGCCTAAATTTTTTGTGGGACATCACATGACCACAGGGAAGGTTTACAAATGATAAAAAAGATTTTAAAAAATGTGTTTTAAAGGTTTTTAATTTAGTAAGCAAAAAGAACATGTTCACAATTTAAATAGAAGATGGCCGCGAAGCGCCCTAAAAGCCTAGTATAAATACAAATTTTTATTTTAATTTTTTAAGAATCTTTAAAAAGGAGACCGAGCACATTTTCGAATATAAGGTCCACTTTTGGCGAGTTACTTCATTTTTTCTCGGGACAACTTTTAAGGAAAGAAAATTTAAAACTGGGGAATAAAAATGTATTTTTTAGTAACGGTATAATCTAGTTATGGCCCATGTCACACAATAGAGTAGCTCTAAGAAATCTTTTCAAAATATACTGGAGAAACAGGATACTGGATTCTGTAACCAAATACTGAATACTGGAAATCTATTCTCCTTGATCTGACTTTGCTTGGAGCTAATGCGTCATGAAACTTTTAGGATGGGTAGGATCTTTTCTTTCCTTGCTCCGACCTTGTCTGAAACTCCCGGTAGGACGTGTTGGATATTTTCTCCAGTTGCTTCGACCTTGCCTGGAGTAAAACATTCCTGAACTTCTGGAATACAGTATCCTGTATCCTGTATCCTGTATCCTGTATCCAGTATCCTGTATCCTGTATCCAGTATCCAGTATCCTGTATCCTGTATTCAGTATCCTGTTTCCAGTATCTAGTATACAGTATCCTGTATCCAATATTCTGTATTTTCTATACCTTGCATTATCGTGTAAATCTGTAAATTAGGATAATGCATATATTGACAATTATAGGATAGTGCTAAAAGTACGGTCATTACCGTTATCCTATAAAGAAATTCGCGAAAATTTGAGAACCATGCTAAATGCTAATTTTTTGGCGAGCCACTTCCTTTTTTCTCGGGACAACTTTAAAGGAAACAAAATTGTAAACTGGGGAATAAAAATGTATTATTTTTAGATGATGCCAACACTCTGCCTGGAGGAGATGAGGTCACTCCTCAGCCTGCCCTTCCTCCGCCTGAANGGAGTTAGAGAAAATAAAAGCGCTTTTAGAGCTCCCCCTCGTCTGACGGGAGGAAATGCCTGGATGCCTGGAGTAGGTGCTGCAGCAGGTCAATTTTGAATTATTTATATTGTATATTCACTTCTTTTGTTTAATTTTTAACTAAGATAAGATAAGATAAGATAAAGTTTATTGCTAAAATACATGTATCTGTGTACAGAACGAGTTTACAATTACAAATTGATGATTATATTAACAGTACAAGTATAAAGCAATTATGAATTTATTAAAATTACAACACTTATGTTTATGGAGAGAAACAAGATTTTACACTTTATATTGTAGTGTCTGTTCAAATATGAACTAGATATTAATGGTTATAATTTTGAAAACTGATTATTTTTAATTGTTGGTTCTCTATAAAAGTGACTAACGCATTTCTACTGCATAGAAATTAGAAATACATAAAACTTGTAAGAATATAATGCTTACAAACATACAGACTCGATCCATAATCTTCCCCATAATTAATAAGTAAATTAAGCTTTTAAGGATACCAATTTAAATCGGAAATTGCCATATTTGCATTTTAAATGAAGCTTACAGTCCATTTTAAGGGGCTGTTATCATTTCATATTACCCTGTATTTATAAAGAGAAGAAACAGTTACCCTTGAAACATCTGTTCAAGAAGATATACGTTGTTTTTCCAGCATGAAAATAGATGTAACTCTTGTTAATTCCTACATTGTTTCCTTCAGCAAAAATGTTGATGCATTTTCAGTAAAGAAACCAAGATTGGAAAGAATCATTTGCCAAAATATGACCATGGAAATATTAGTGATAAATTTTGTGTTATAATCATCATTTTACTCACTGAAAACTGAACAGCAAAGTTCAACATTTTAGTTTTTGTGATAATTAAACTTTCTCTCTTAAAATCGAAATGTGAAAGTTGAGTGTACAATATTATGTTTTGACACTTTCTATTTCTAAAAAGCTGAAATGAATTTTCTTATTGAAATACTCTCATTTAGTTTTCTCTCTGAAAGTTGAATTCATAAAATTATGTATTAAATTTAGTGCCCTAAGAATTGTTGTACATTATGAAAACTGAAAACAAAAATATTTCTACCTAACTTCATGTCTACTTCATTTGAACTAATGTTACTGTGCCAGTAAACCCTAAACTAAATGTGATACTGTGTAATAAGAATATTCTTGCAGGGAGAGGACAGTGGAGAGGAGGTTGGAGAGGACAGGGTGGAGTAGGTTGGAGAGGACAGGGGAGAGGAGGTGGAGGACCTAGAAGGAGAGGAGGGCGGAGGTCCCGCGCCGCAGTGGCTAGGAGGAGGGGCGGGTCGACGGGAGAATCGACCGTAGCTCTAGAGCTAGTCATGGGCCAGATAATGGCTGCATACCAAATGCATCAGGAATATAACTATTAGTTAGTTTACTTGAACAGCTGTACAGTGCATGTACGTCTCCGCACTAAATAATTTATTATTTTCAGATCATGCAAATTCAAAGCTAGTGAAAATGGATTGAAGATGATTGAAGATGAAGCTGAAGGGATTAAAGGTAGATTAAATCAAAAAAAATCCTGCTTTTTAAGTAGCCCTCGGGGTTATTTTTAAGAATTTCACCTCCCCCTCCCCCA